GGGTTCGTTACTATGAAAACCAATTTTAATGTGACAAGTAACTGGTGTGTGAAACGAATTTGAAGAAAATTGGGGGGGGGGGCAGTAGGGATTTCACCTAGGGCGTCAAATTGGCTAGAAACGGCCCTGCACACAGAGTAGGGAATATTAGATCATCTGTTCAAGTGTGCATGATAAAGTTATTGGAATGGGATCAAATGGTGATTCAAGAAATGCTGTTGCTGCGGGTTTCTTGATTTCCCACTTTAAATTTACATTAAAGTTATGCATTTAGCAGACGCTTTTATCCAAAGCGACTTACAGTGCATTCAGGCTATACATTTTTTATTAGTATGTGTGTTCCCTGGGAATTTAACCTATGACCTTTGCGCTGCTAACACAATGCTCTACCACTGAGCCACAGGACAAAATTTAGCCCCAAAACTCCTGAACCCACCCAATTAGAGTGGGGTGGAATTTCCCAATGCTAGTAAACAACTGTAAAAGAGTCTCTGATTTAAAAGCCCCTATCGTGACTGCCAAGTTTCCTGTGAAGATTGCGATACCACTACTGCAGAGTTGACCTAGAATCCAATTCTGAGTCACTCTGAGCCCTCAAGACTTTGACTTTGTGTTTCCCAAGAGACACACACTCCACATCCATCTTTGTTTATTCAAACATCCGCTAGGCTGTTCTTCTCTGTATTAAATTATAGCTGTACCACCATCTTTTTTTTCTGGGAACTTGGAAGAGGGGCAGGATATATGGAAATGAACCATAACAATATGAACAGGAAGGAAGCGTAGGCCGATCAGTCCTGGGGAACATGGGGAGGGAGGGAGTTGAAGTCCAACACTTTCTTTTCGGCTTGCAGTTCCTTGAGATTACATCAGCCACTGCTGCAGGCATGTGCTGACCACAATGGCACTTTCAACTAGATAAACAACTGTCTTAGCAGTTGTCTAAAATGCTTACTTTGATAAATTAGCTATTTTACACTGAAATAATACTAAATGACAATTTGGTTATTGTAATAAAGGAACAAGATTCACTTTATTGTCAACCAGGAGAGAAAACAAATTATTGCTTATGCAGGACAACATAACAGCCCTTACAAAAGAAGAGAATACTAGCATTCAGGTTGAAATAATTAAAAGAAAATAAATAAATAAAAATATTTGAAAAAAAAAGTTGTGAAAAGAGACCAGATTTCGATAAATAAAATAAGGCATTAGAAATTTGGCCTTTTTATTAAGAAAAAAATATAAAAAAATATCTGTGGGTGCAAGAAGAGTAGCTTTTCTGTGTAGCAAAAATCAAATGCAAAAATTAAAATATAACTGGGTGGAATTTGGGAGAAGGAACTTTGATCAATATAATGATGCAACAGAAAATCCACTCTTCAATTTGGAAATAAAATATTAAAAATAAACTGGGCGGAAGTTGTGAGACAAAACCCTGATAAATATATCCACTGAATTAGCTTTTTAAAATACAATTTAAAAAAGTAACTGGGTAGAAGTTGCGAGACCAAACTTTAAAAAATATATATGATGCCTCAAAAATGATCTCTGCAAATTTTGAATAAACTTATATTCCTAATGAAAGTTAAAAACGAAAGCGGGGGGAAAAAAGTAGGGCACATCTGGTTTTACTCACAAAGCTTTTTGTGCTGACATACGCACAGTCATATGGAGGGGATTAAAAGGTTTTGGATAAATACCAGGTTTCTGTGTTTGTGCAATAAATTTCTTATAATGGAATTCATGGGGACCAATGCACAGATGAGGCTTTCTCTAAAAATAAACAGTCCGTGTCTAATTTCTTAGTTTCCTGACTGTAGGCCTGACGTCATGTTGAAGCAAAGCAGAGGGGACGTGCAACTCCAGCCAACTTTCGGCAGGATCAAGCCTGAGACAAGAGCCGCCCCCTCAGCTCCCCCTATCCTTTCTCACAGTCAACAGGAAAGACAGGGCCAGAACTCTGAGAGAGCAGGGAAAGAAGAGACGAAGAGAAGAACATCATACAGAAGATCGCACTAGATGTCCAACAATCTTCCCCCACAGGACAAAATGGACAAGCAAAAACTGAGGGCTGAAATCAGTCCTCGGGTGTCCAAGAAATCTGCACAGCGCCTAAGCAGGGATCTCACCTGCTCCATCTGCCTGGACCTGTTCAAGCGCCCGGTTTCCTTGCCCTGCGACCACACTTTCTGCGAGGCCTGCATTACAAGTTACTGGAGCGGCCCTCGTGGAAAAGGCCAGGGTGGGTCTGGTTCCTGTCCTCAGTGCCGGAAAGTCTTTCCAGGCCAGAGCTACAGACCCAACCGCATCGTGGCCAACATCGTGGAGAGCTACTGCCAGGGGATCGAGGAGAGTGGGGGTCGGCTGACCGGGTTGTCAGCAGACACGGTTCCTCCAACCCCACTTTGCAACCGACACAGAGAAGAGCTGAAGCTGTATTGTGAGGAAGACCAAGAGCTGGTGTGTCTGGTGTGTGGGATCTCTCAGGATCACCGGGCTCACACGCTGGTGTGCATACAAGATGCACAGCAGAGATATCGGGTAAGAATCAAAGACACGTTTTCTAACTTCCTCAGCTCAGCTGAAAGCTCATTGTGTTTGTGATGAACAGGCTTCCCTAACCACTTCAGCAAATGCTCTTCAAAAGGAGCTCAACACTGCTCTAGAGTGTGAGAGAGAGACTGAAGAGGAGGTGAAGAAACTGAAGGTAAGAAGAAACTAAACCTCATGTACACTCTCCAATACCTCTTAAATGGATTGGAAATGATTCATAATCCTAAAATGACTAACACCTAATCATTTAAATTCTTGACCCTTTCCAGTAAGTAGTAACTTGTAGGTCAAAATTATAGGCCACCCAAAAATGAAAAGTCTGTCATCATTTAGATTTTTTAAAACCAAGGTTCCAAAAGAATGTTTTTGCAGTGTTGCCATAAGAAGAACCACTCTGAGGCAAAACATCACCTCATATTCTCTTGTTTTTGGACCCAGGACCACACTGCAGATCTGAAGCAGAGAATCGAGGCACAGTTCAGCGAGCTTCACCAGGTCCTGTACCAGGAAGAGAAACTCCTGCAGGTCAAGCTGAAGACGGAGGAACGGCGAGAGCTGATAAGGCTGGATGAGCACAAGGCCCTGCTCAGTGTGGAGATATCACGCCTGCGCAGAGCTATGAATGACATCGAGGACAAACTCAGGGAACAGGATCCTTACACTCTACTCAGGGTAAGTGCAAAGCCACACACTGACAGATATCTGCAGAACAAAAGAGACCAAAAATACTTTTATTTTCAGGAGGTGGTGATTTGAGGCGAAACTAGAGCGTCAGATTGTTGGCAATGGGTGTGCATGAAGAGACGCTTGTGTAATCCAGCACCAGATACAGTTGGATACTGTAGTAGAGGAGGAATGCCTACTTACAATCAGTTGCACAGAGACTTTCAGACCTCCAGTGATTTTTGTGTGAACGACCCTTTAAAGCAAGACAGAATGTTAATTGCATTATAAAAATAGATTCTTGAGATGCAATGAAAATGTTGTATATAATATAATCATACAAATGATACTAAACATTTGAAGTAATGTATTAATGATGTAAATACTATACATTTCAAATCTGAAAAGAAAATATATATTACATATAATATATCTTAAAGGGGTCATATGATGCTGCTAAAAAGAACATTATTTTGTGTATTTGGTGTAATGAAATGTGTTTATGTGGTTTAAGGTTAAAAAAACACATTATTTTCCACACACTGTACATTATTGTTTCTCCTCTATGCCCCGCCTTTCTGAAACGCGTCGATTTTTACAAAGCTCATCGGTCTGAAAAAGCGAGGTGTGCTCTGATTGGCCAGCTATCCAGTGCGTTGTGATTGGCCGAATTCCTCAAGCGTATGACGGAAATGTTCCGTCCCTTACCATATTGTGATGTCTGCGGCAACCACATGTGACGACCCCGGGCTGGACTCCGCTTCATCCACGGTGAAAGCCGATCCGGCGATCCACAGCGCGAAGTTGAAGTATTTCCTCAGCGACCAGCACGGATCAGCTCCAGGCATGACGAAGCGATATAGTCCTCTTTTGGAAGGCCAAACAAAGTAGTTTCGCTTTCACAACGAAGCACACAGCACCTTCACGACATGGCGGCGGCGGCAACAGATCTTCCCAGATAGTGACGTAGGTATGTGGGGGCGTGTTAGAACGAGCTGTTTTAGGTAGGCGTGGTTGACTCTTAACTTTTATAAAGAATATCTATTTTCGCATTATATGACTCCTTTAAATTATCACTTCAATAGTTAACTGCTAACAGAAAGCTCTGTGGGATATCACTTGGGTCAACACAGGATACAATGTAATGATCTCACCCTTGCCATAGGAAGATAATGCCATTAGTGCAGCAGAAGGGGATTTTCCAGAGTCGTGGATGAAAAAAGGAGGTGTAGCTTAGTTTCAGACACTGATCTCATGTGGAAAACTTCTGTCCCTGCCTCTCGAACTGAGCCAATTTCATCAATCTCCTTTTTCCTGTCTTTTTTGCAGAGTATAAAGGGCCTGCTTCAAAGGTGAGAGACCTCTATGGATCTGTTACAATTAATATTTTCACGAGGAAGTGCTTGAGTTATTTTTGTGTCTGGGCTTGTGTTGTTTCAAGCAGGCAGCCACCGAAGTTTGAGAAGCCGGCGCTGACGCCACCCAGACTGTGTGAGGGCCGCTTTGCTGGGCCCCTGCAGTACAGAGTGTGGAAGTCACTGAAGGGAAGCATCTATCCAGGTTTGAGAATGATCCTAAATGAAAAATGAAGTTAAATATGAATTTTCACATGTTGAATCAAGCGGTGTAAATAAACATTAAAGGACTAACCTCCAATAAAGGAATAACCAAAAATGCTGAAAATTTGCTTACCTTCAGGCCATTAAAAATGTAGTTTGTTTCTTCATTGAAACACAATCGGAGACATTTAGCATTACATCCTTCGCTCACCAGTGGATCATCTGCAGTGAATGGGTGCCATCAGAATGAGAGTCCAAACAGTTGATCAAAACATCACAATAATCCACAAGTAATCCACACCACTCCAGTCCATGTCTTGTAAAGTGAAAATGTGCATATTTGTAAAACAAATCAAATCAAAGACATTTTTAACTTTCAACCGTCACTTCCAGGCAAAATACCAGACCAAATCCAAAATAATAAAAGCAAAATATGGAATTATTATGGATTATAGTTTCATAATTTTGCCAGGAGTTGGTTTGAAGTTAGAAATGTATTAATTATGTTTTTTTTCTTACAAACATGCATGCTTTTCACTTCACAAGACAGTAATTGATGGACTGAAGTCATGTGATTACTTGTGGATTATTGTGATGTTTTTATCAACTGTTTGAACTGACGGCACCCATCCACTACAGAGGATCCATTTGTGAACAAGTGATCTAATGCTACATTTCTCAAAATCTGTTCAGTTGAAGAAGCAAACTTATCTGCATCTTGTATGACCAGAGGGTAAATAGATTTTCAGCCAATTTTAATTGATGGAATGCATGAACTGACTCTTCTCTGCTACACTGTTCCCTTTCTAGTTCCCTCAGCCATCACATTTAACTCCAAAACAGCCAACCCCTGGCTCAGTCTTACATCTTCGCTTACCTGTGTGCGCTACCAGACCTTTAACAACGTGGTGCAGGACAATCCACAGCGGTTCAATGCCGCGCTGTCTCTCTTGGGCAGTCAAGAGTTCACTAAATGCCGCCACTACTGGGAGGTGGAGGTGTACAGCAGCACCGTGTGGACCGTGGGAGTTGCTCGTGAATCCGTCACGAGAAAAGGTGTCATCAATACCATGCCTGCCAATGGCTTCTGGACGCTCTCACTATCGTATGGAGTTCAGTATATGGCCGGTACGTCTCCACCAACGTTGCTGTCTTTGGAAGAGCCACTGGCAAGGATCGGCGTGTATCTGGACTACAAAAGAGGCCTGGTGTCCTTCTATAATGCCGAGAGCATGACGCACCTCTACACCTTCAAGGACATCTTCACTGAGACCCTCTACCCTTATTTTAACCTGGGCTTCCTGGATAAAGTGCATGAAAATGAGCCTCTTAAAGTGTTCCTACCCAAAATCTGATCCCCCCCCCCCCCCATGTTTTCTTTAATAATATTAATATTTGTTTTTTTATATAAACACTAGGCTGGATCTGGATATTTTAAGTTGTTTCAGAGACTTGCCATTTCCAAAAAAAAAAAAAACTTTTCAAAAATGACATATGCAAAATTGCATATGGCTATACTATCTTAACATTACAGCGGGTTAGTGGAGGCACATGAAGATGAAACAAAATCTTCAAAAATGGTTGGAAACCATGGCTTATGACCCTTTCCCATGCTAAAGGATTTTATTTTAGACTACCAGGCATAAGTTACCCCATTACCTGGCAGATACGATATATTCTACACGTTTCTGTGATATTCAGTTTTATAAACAAAGGGGTGAGGATTTGGCTGGTCAGCATGGTCAAGCCAGCCCCTGCTGGTAGATGTGGTAACTACACTGTTAAGCTTTTCCCCCATTGACAGCCATTCAAAATTGGCTGTGTATTTTAATATTTTTAGCAAACAACATATAATCATAAAATATACATAAAATATTTCAGTATAGTGGATGTTTAACCAGTAACTGATGTTTTTTTTAGATGATTCTGAAAGTGGACTTATATTTTTCTCTATGTGCTGCCTTTGACGTCACATCTCAGAACTATCACTAGTGAGGGGTTTATGCATGTTCTTGCGCCATCAGCCAATCAAAAGAGTTATTAGTGACCAAAGATGGACACGAGCATACTTCCACTGTCACCGAGATAAATGGGAATGCTAACCAAAAGATGGTGCAATTGTACTCACGGAAAGAGCAAGCTACCCACGCTGACTGACTGAATCAGCATCTAGTTTTCTAGTTTTCACCAACTTTTATAATTATTAGACACATTGACTTAACCAACAAGTGGCATGAGTCATTAAGTCTTTTAGGAAACTTACACCGCACAATAAGTAACTCTGATCTGTGTCCCAAGTCTTGGCTATATTGAAGGTTATGATTGTAGTAATAATAAAAACCCTGCAATTACAGAGTGAATAAATCGAAGTGTGGCATACGGCTTTAAATAAATCATGCACATCAATACACGATTGATTTAAAAAGGTTTTTTAAAAACTTTAAAAAATATATATATAGTTTTTTTTTTCTTAATCAACCAAAAATTTATTCTTGAACATTTTCAAACGAACAGTTTCCAGCCAAGCTAAAAATAAACGTTTAATCATGTATTGAGGTATCACTACGCAGCTAGCACAGAAAAACGTTAGATTGTTGTTATATATATATATATATATATACAGTGGAGAAAAAAAGTATTTAGTCAGCCACCAATTGTGCAAGTTCTCCCACTTAAAAAGATGAGAGAGGCCTGTAATTTTCATCATAGGTATACCTCAACTATGAGAGACAAAATGAGAAAAAAAAAATCCAGAAAATCACATTGTAGGATTTTTAAAGAATTTATTTGCAAATTATGGTGGAAAATAAGTATTTGGTCAATAACAAAATTTCATCTCAATACTTTGTTATATACCCTTTGGTGGCAATGACAGAGGTCAAACGTTTTCTGTAAGTCTTCACAAGGTTGTCACACACTGTTGCTGGTATTTTGGCCCATTCCTCAAGAGCAGTAATGTTTTGGGGCTATATATATATATATATACACATACAGTGAAAAAATGTTTTCATTCATCTAATTAAAAAAATGTAGGGTAATGATTCACATCTATATTTTTTAACTTGAGCCAATGAAAAATAAATAACTTGCTCTTAGGGATTTTTTTAATTGGATGAATGAAACATTTGTTTCACTGTATATACAGGTGCATCTCAGAAAATTTGAATATGAAAAAGTTGTTTTTTTTGTAACATTTCCAAATGTGAAACTTTCATATATTCTAGATTCATTACATGTAAAGTAAAACATTTCAAAATATTTGTTATTTATTTTTTATTTTGATGATTCGAGCTTACAGTTCATGAAAGTCAAAAATCCAAGTAGGCCTAGATTAATTACATGTAAAGTAAAACATTTCAAAATATTTGTTATTTATTTTTTATTTTGATGATTCGAGCTTACAGTTCATGAAAGTCAAAAATCCAAGTAGGCCATCTCAAAATATTAGAATATTTACATTTGAGTTCCATTAAATGACCATCCCTACAGTATAAATTCTGTGTATCTCTTGTTCTTTGAAACCACAATAATGGGGAAGACTGCTGACTTGGCAATGTTCCAGAAGACAATCATTTACACCCTCCACAAAGAGGGTAAGTCACAGAAGGTCATTACTGGAAGGGGTGGCTGTTCACAGAGTGCTGTATCAAAGCATATTGAATGCAAAGTTGACTGGAAGGAAAAAATTAAGGAAAAGGTGCACAAGCAACAGGGATGACCGCAGGCTGTCAAGCCAAGCTGTCAAGCCAAGCTGATTCAAACACTTAGGAGAGCTTCACAAGGAGTGGACTGAAGCTGGAGTCATTGCATCAAGAGTCACCACATCTTCAGGAAAAGCGCTACCAAGCCACTTCTGAAACAGACACAAAGTCAGAAGCATCTTACCTGGGGCTAAGGAGAAAAAGAACTGGACTGTTGCTCAGTGGTCCAAACTTCTCTTTCCAGATAAAATTAAATTTAAAAATAGCTTTTCATTTGGAAATCAAGGTCTGTAGTCTGGAGGAAGAGTGGAGAGGCACAGAATCCAAGCTGCTTGTAGTCCAGTGTGAAGTTTCCGAAGTCAGTGATGATTTGGGGTGCCCTGACGTCAGCTGGTGTTGGTTCATTGTGTTTTATCAAGTCCAAAGTCAATGCAGCTGCCTACCAGGAGATTTTGGAGCACTTTATGCTTCCATCTGCTGACAAGCTTTATGGAGATGCTGATTTCCTTTTCCAGCAGGACTTTAGCACCTGCCCACAGTGCCAAAACCACTTCTAAGTGGTTTGCTGACCATGATATTACGGTGTAGGGCTGTCAAAAAAAAATTGAATTTAAAATATTCGTCGATTTTTCAAATAAAAATCCACATTCTGCAATTTTAGGTGTGCGTCAGGCAGCCTTATCAGTGGCGCACGAAATGCGACGACGATATAAGTGTCATTGCATTTTAATGCTTTTGTTAGCCTATCAATTTGAACCCACTAGATGCGGCGCTGCTACGTTGTTCATTCAAAATATTGCAGAAAAAGAGAACAATCAATGCGGGGAAGAGGTTGTTTACGTCAAAACCGAAACCAAGCCGTTCACACAGAGCGCATATTTATCGCATTTTCTAGAGGGACATCACCGTTGCACAGCACAAGAGAGCTGCATGTTTAGAAAGCCATGTAAAATCAATGTAAGTTCAACTTTTAAAAAACATGTCTCAAGACTTTATGGCGGTTTTCCCCATCCCACTGCATCTCATGTTTTTAAATGAAGAAAGTACTCTTTGTGATTGGTTTTCGGTCCTTTGTATTAAACTATACATGCATGCATAATGCTCTTTTGTTTCTAATTGTTTAAGCAATTTTATTAATTATATATGGTTTATAAACATTATTTTAAACATTATGCACTTTTTTTCAAAGATAGTCGTGTTATTTTATTATGCTTTGAAGAAACGTGCATAATATTTTGCTCGATGCGCCCTCTTGTGGCCTCAAGAGAGAAGCCAAAAGCTTTTTTTCCCCCTAACTGAAATTATGCCTTTTAAATTCGAATATAATTCGAATATTGATCATATTTAAGTAAGAAATTTGAATTTAGTTTTTCAGCCATTTTGACAGCCCTATTACTGTGCTTGATTGTATTGATCCAACAATACAGACGAGCTGAAGGCTCAATAGTGCCTCAGCAGTGCCACAGGCTGATCGCTTCCATGCCACACCTCACTGATGCTGGAGTTTGTGCTAAAGGAGCCCCGGCCAAGTATTGAGTGCATAAATGAACAGACTTTAAAGAACTTTGAATTTAAAATATTAGTCGATTTTTCAAATAAAAATCCACATTCTGCAATTTTAGGTGTGTGTCAGGCAGCCTTATCAGTGGCGCACGAAATGCGACGACGATATAAGTGTCATTGCATTTTAATGTAAGCTCTAATCATCAAAATAAAAATAAATTAAAAAAAACATTTTAAATGTTTTACTTTACATATAAATTAATCTAGAAGACTTTAAAGAACTTGAATTTTTTTTCTTTTTTTTATTGATCTTAGGAAATATTCTAATATTTTGACATACTGGATTTTTGACCGAGTAGAGCTGTAAGCTCTAATCATCAAAATAAAAAAAATTAAAAAAAAAACATTTTAAATGTTTTACTTTACATATAAATTAATCTAGAATATATGAAAGTTTCACTTTTTGAAATAAGTTACAAAAAAATTTACATTTTCACGATATTCAAATTTTTTGAGATGCACCTGTATATATAAAAGAAAAGCAAAAAAGCAAGTCTAAAAAAGTGAGTTTTAAGAGAGGATTGAAATGCGACGACGATATAAGTGTCATTGCATTTTAATGTAAGCTCTAATCATCAAAATAAAAATAAATTAAAAAAAACATTTTAAATGTTTTACTTTACATATAAATTAATCTAGAATATATGAAAGTTTCACTTTTTGAAATAAGTTACAAAAAAATTTACATTTTCACGATATTCAAATTTTTTGAGATGCACCTGTATATATAAAAGAAAAGCAAAAAAGCAAGTCTAAAAAAGTGAGTTTTAAGAGAGGATTGAAAGACATTTTAAGATTTGACATGTCTAGTATGGTTATGCTGATAAGCTATGGAAAGCTAGGAAACAAAAACATTAACAAATCATAAACAAACTAATTTGTTGTTAGCCAGGTTGGCACACTACTACACATTGGACTATAATAGGTTAAAGTTTCAGGACTACCATAAACTAATCATTACAAACACGTCGTTACGAAAGACCAAGATTTCTGATAAAGTTTGTTCCGTGTACACATATACCACTCAATCCTAGCTCATTTTATACACAGTCAAAAGAACGATAAAATAAATGTCATCTCATATGTTTATTAGTCGCATTAACATTTTTGTCTTACAGCTCATTGCTTCAGGTGGACAATTTCATGTCATATAATTTAAGTCTAGTAGTCTGAATAATCATGTACAACTCTCATGTAAGAAATAGTGCTAGAATTGCTTTTTACAAAAGATACAATCCTTGTAATTATCATTGAATGATATTTTATATATTTCCAAACTCAATTACCACCAACTAGATGTGTGGCAATAAAGAATTATGATTGTGCATTTCATTATTTCATTTTATAATAAAAGAATCATCTAAAAGTCTTTTAGATTCTAGCCTTTGAGTAACTGAAGAGATCTCTAGGAGGCGAAAGTGCATCAGAGACACGTTGAATCTAATTTATCCTTCCTCCTTGACTTGCAGTCAACAAAGCTCTTCATGCTGATAATATCTGCCACTCAGATGTTCCATTTCCTATTGAGTTTTCAATGGATCCTTTGAAATACGACAAGACAAATTATGTTGCCATATCCCTACATCAAGCTTGTCCTCCCAGCTTTTTGAAGGGGTTTGGTACCACTATGTCGTCTTCTTTGCAGTCTGGAGGAGAGGGAACATGGGGCCTCGGGTGGCATCACTAACACAGGTGCGCAGGAGGTATTAGAGGCCCCTGGCTGCTATGTTCTCCAGAGCGCTTCTGTCATGATGAACTCACTTACTAGTGTGCAAGGTGTCCTGGAACTTGGTGCTTGTGTACCGAACATGGAAACCTTTCTTGTTGATGGTGTCATCTGAGTGAAATTTGATGACAATGGCATCACCAGCTGAGTAGATTTCCTCTGGCGGCTATAAATGATCAAATTATTGAGACATATAATTTGTTGTACTGTAAAATGTATAGACATTTTTAAGCATAATGATTGCTTATGTTTAACAAAGATCTTAAGTTTTTGCTTTACCCCAGACCCACAGTAACGTCCCAGCCTGGGCGCTTTGACATCAGCGCCATCAAACAGCTCCACGTAATCATAGCCGCAGTCAGCTTCCTCCTCAGTCTCAAAGGTGTGGAAGATGAGCTCCACCCCGTAGCCCTTCTCCGCTGAGATCACCCACTGGCAGTCTGAAGCTCCGGGATAGTTGTTGTCACCAAACTGTGCGTGGGAATACAGATCCTTGGTCTTTATCTCTGCCTTCAGACTACCGCCACACTCTGAGAACAAGAGTGATTATCGTTAACTGAAATCAAATGTTCATTATGGAGAACCTCAGGACCACACAAAAAAATACCTGCTGAATGAGAGGCCTTAAAACCCCTCTTCTGTACCGAGTTATCTGAGAAGAACCGCAGGAACATGCTATTGCCACTGGAAATGACAGGCGATGGCTTTTTACTCCCACAGAAGCGACCAAAACTGGTTGCTCTGCCATTTGGGCCATCATATATCTCCAAGTGGTCATAAGCACACCCTTCATGAGCCTCCATGTCTATCTCCTCAAAAGCCTGTGAATAGAGAGAATGCAATTTGAGCTGGTGGATTGGTTTTAACCATTGCTTTGATTACCAGTGTATGCTCTATCTTTAACCCCTCATTTTGTCTGGCTGAATGATGCAATTACCAGTTTAATGCGGTGGCCTGGGGTGGTGGATAGGGTCCATGTGCAGGCCTTCTTGCTGGGGTATTTATCTGGCCAGTTTGGACTTGTGATGATACTGGAAACACTGGTAATTACCTGATCACAGCCCACTAAAAGCACAAATCCAAGATAAAAATGATTGTTGGGAATCCAGAATTAGGATTGCTGTAAAGATTAAGACACATTAAAAAATATATTTTCTATAAGCTTATGTCTTATTTTCATAATTCTAAATCTAAATCTAAATGAAATACATATAAAATATTTCATGAGATTCCTATGGATTCATTTTACAATGCCTTTATGGCCTATTTGGATCTTTTAGCCTTTTCTTTACCTGGATAATAGAGGGTCAAAAGAGGTACAGACACCACCTTGCAAATTTCATTAAAAATATCTTAATTTGTGTTTTGAAGATTAACCAAAGTTTTAATGGGTTTGGGACAGCATGAGGGTGAGCAAACGGTGACATTTACTTATTTTGGGGTAAAAATATCCCTTTCAAATTCAGGTTTAATGAGTTTACAAAAAGCAAAAAGAAGTGTTTTTGTGCACTCAGGGCAGGGCAGCCTTGGAGCAATAACGAAACTGCACTTTGCAAAAAAAAAAGAATAAATAAATAAAATGTTTACCTCTGTATCAGTATCTATATCACTTCAAAAAGAATACAGAGCTTTGAAGTATTTAATTTTGACATTTTGTGTTAAAATGCAAATGAATGCCTTCACAAAACATCAATGTGTGTTAGATTTACGAAATAATTGTTTTCTTACCCTTCTAATCAGTTTATTTCACACATGACAAATATTTTCCAATACAGGAATGATTGGTAATGTGATGTGAAGCCAAACCTTCTTTGCAGTCATGTTTATTGCTGTGCAACACAAAGCCGCTCCGACACTGACAGCTGTAGCTCCCAAACGTGTTCACACACTCATGCTGGCAACCTCCATTCTCCCTAGAACACTCATCCATGTCTGCCAGAGAAAAAGAAGAAGTACATTATTATTTAGTCTGCTGATTGACACAATATGCCCAACTGCATATATAACAGTCAAACGGAAGTCTACAACATTCATACATGCTATTAAAGGAACCTTGACAGTTCTGCACATCCCCACAGACTTACATTGTATGTGAATTACTGTAAATGTGATTTTTGTTGGACAGAATGACATTACTTTCTAAACTTACTTGTATTGAACCCAGGATTCTGTCAGAAAAAAAAGTCAAGTCTGTCTGAAACATATGAATATTGTTCATTAGCTGATTATCGGCAAGTTGCAAAGGACAATCGCAGGTCATTCTCACCAGAAAAGAACTGAGCTTTGAAGCCTCTCTTGGACACAGTGTTGTCTGATTTGAACTCAACGCGCATACTGTTGAGTTGGGACGTGATCGCCTCTGGTTTCTCTGTGCCACAGAATTTCCCATGAAGCTTTGCATCTGTGGACAGGCCGCTGTGTACTTCAACGTAATCATATTTACAAACCTGCGAACAGAGGAGCTCATTACATTGTCACTGTGGTCAAAAGATTTTTTGGTCTTGGCAACCTTGTTACAAGTCACACAGTCTCCAGCATAGTCTGCTTACATCGTTCCCTTCGATCTCAAAAGCATCGAAAAGCAGAGTGATGCGGTACTGCACTGGGGCAATGAGCTGCCACACACAGTTCTTGTTAGGTGGGTATTCCTGCGGCCATCCTGGACTAGTGAAGGAGCCATTGAGTTTGGAGATGAATCCACCACAGGCAGCTGCTGGGATCAGATGGAGGAGCCATTATTATGCTGCTGTCTTGACTGCCAAGCCAACAAGCAAAGAGACTCAAATAACAGAAATCTTCTCGTTTTCAGCAAAAAAAATCTTCTAAGATCTAAAGAAAACTGAATACAAGCATCGTAAACACTTTATGGCTTTGAATGGCAAATTCCATGTAATGCAGAAAAGTTTGCTTGGTTTAATATGAGCAGCGCTGAACCAAGATGTCTTTTAGAACTCCATACTCCTAGAAGGAGTCAAGTGTCTTTGTTGTTATCTTTGCCAAGAAAATCAATCACAACAGAGAGCTCCTAACATTGAGAGGAGAGATCTCTCTCTCTAATTTCTGTGTGTGCTGGTTTTCATGTGAGGTATATTCAAGCACTGTTTGCAGAATCAATAGTCCTTCTTTGATTGATTATCACACATGCACCAGAAAAAAATTAGACATGGATTGACCAAAATTCCAAGGGTTATGCATCCAACTGAATAAAACACATTTTTCATTATATATATATAATTTTTTTTGAACTAACGAAAAATGTTGCGTTTTATTCTGTTGGATGCATAAGCCTTGGAATTTTGGTTCATTTCATATTAAAGTGCCTGTATCATTTCATATTAACGTGTGAATGAAACTACGAGCATGCGTGTCAGATCAGTGTCACGTTCAACAGCGGAAGCTCTTATAGTAATAGCAGTTAAATAACCTAATACCCCAGCTGCTGTGATGTCTGATGTGAAGAACAGAAGAAAAAAAGAGGAAATCAATAACTTTTGTAGCTTTAAAGATTCTTCTATATTTCATTTTTAAGTTTAAATTTATAGTGTTTGATAACTTTATTCAATTTCTGTACATTTCCTACTTGCTGAAGGCCACAGGTAAATGCAAACCACCTCAGATGATGCCAACCCTGAAACATCATAAACTACCAAATTTTGCTACAAGTTTGATTGCAACATATAATCATTGCTGTTAAGTGTTCATGGTCTGTTTGATCACGTCATTAACTGAATTTTACCATACATTTCTGCCATATGTACATCAATTTGACAGTCCCCACTGACTGTATGCTTTGGATCATGAGCTGTTCCAAGCCTTCTCCATACTTTTTTCTTCCCGTCATTCTGGTACAGGTTGACCTTAATTTCAGCCGTCCAAAGAGTGCTTTTCCAGAAGTGATCTGTGTTTTTTGGCAAAGTCTAATCTGGCCTTGTTTGCACCTTGTGGTGAACCTTCTGTGTTTGCTCTCGTGAAGTCTTCTCTTGATTGTAGACTTTGACAGTGACATGCCTACCTCCTGGAGAGTGTTTTTCTCTTGGCTGGATGTTGTGAAAGGGTTTTTCTTTACCATGGAGAGGATCCTCCGATCATCCACCACTGTTGTCCTCCGTGGACGTCCAGGCCTTTTTTGCCAAGCTCTCTCGTGCGTTCTTTTTTTCCCCATAGTCTTATGTTGTTTCTTATTGATTGTTCAGACAGAGAGGTGCCACAAGTAACATTTCCATTATGACCCTTTTCTCTGCTTTCACACTCGGATTGAGAAACATGACAACTGTGCGTATGACTACCTGGAACTGCGAGATGGTGATTCCGAGAACAGCCCTATACTGTTTTTAGTTGTGTTTTTAGCAGTTGCTGGGGTGTTCTGGGTGCTTGATTACTTGCTCAAGTCAAGAGAGCCCTTCTGGAATTCTTTATAAATATGAAGTAAATAAATATGCCTAAATCCCTCATTTCTCATAAGCCGCATAATTTCTACCATTTGTGTCCGTAACACAAACTGAGGTGAACTCACTCCAGTCACACATGCTCAAATTTCCAGAACAATTAAAAAACAATCTACAATCAAATTCTAACAAACTCATATAATGAGAATTGCATTGCCAATCATAAAACTCTCAAAGGCTGATTGGAGAACAGTGAATGAAATAGCAGCAACTCTGCTTAACTGGAACATAACTAAGCTTTCACACTCTGGTTTTCCTGATTGTTTATGGTTATTAAAAGGCAACTTCAGGTCTGATTCCACAGTTTGTTCCTTTATAATTTAGAAACACATAAGGAAATTCAATATATGACATATATTGCCCTATATCAAGAGTCATATTGTCATATATTACCTATAAGGTGAGATGTCATTTTCATTATCTGAATGGATGAAGATAACTTTGCAACATAAAATCCATGTCAATATAATATGTAGAGGTCGGCTGAAATCCATGCCAATAGTTTTTCTCAGGTTGCGTCCAATGCTGGAGCGGCTGGGAAGGTCTGCTGTTATTACACAGTGTGAGAGCGGCCTCTAGATGCGGAAATCATTGACACGTTGTGTTGTTTGTTTTGACACGTGAGGCTGCCTGCTGCAAAGTGTGGGAAACTTCAGACACGGATTTTAATGCAACTGACAGAAAATCCTGCCACGCCACAGAGCCCCATTTGCATAGTTTTCCATTCATTTGCATTATATTTGTCCCAAATCATTGTTAATGTACATAATGACTTCACCCTAGGCTGTAAAATTGTGCAATGAATTGTTTGTCTTTCTGTGGCTCTAATAAAATATGCTTCATTTAGAGAGCTATAATATAGATTGCACTTTCTTTTTTCCGTTTTTGCTAATTTGTTCATTCTTGAAGTAAATTTTTGTCAATTTGGTGATTAAATAAACTGTTTTAGACCACTGCTTGAATTGAACACGACGCGTCCGGTGTGTGTGCGATACCTGCAAGTTGACCTAGATGCAGTGCTGCGCTTTTGCCCAGTGTGTGACTGCCATATTTAGTTATTTTGATTAGATAAACATCAGGTGTTCTAAAATAAAAGCAAATAAAGTGTGAGAGTATACATACAATATCCATATGTACTGTATGTCATTTCAATGTTATGGCCTGTGTTTAGATATTTAAAGATGGCCATCTTTAAACATGGCTGTTGAAATGAAATGGTAATATACGTATATGGCTATACAAGTATTGTTCCTCGTTGGAGTGTGTTCATTTCAACATTTACTATTGCGAATACATTTTTTAAATTTTAAAGTTAACATTAATTAATAAACTATGAACAAACTTTAATGATCAATATAATAATTCATATTAATATTTTTTATTCAATAACAAAGTTTAGATAAGCATTAATATATGCAACTGTATTAAACCAACTTCTATAAACATACGGAATTGTTTGTATATATGTCTTTTTTTTTTTAAATACATGCCTATCTTTTGTATCTTTGATTTACTTATACGATATCAACATGCACTGACAGTTTTTAGCATGATACATATTTTTATGGGCTATATATGTTAATGAATGAAATTGCTTTTTGAGTACATGTTCTTAAATTTAAAATATGCATGTGTTAATGTATGCATAAATATCTCTGTAATATGTACATATAGTACACATTTGCATATGGGAAGGCCTGAGAATAACAGGTAGAACATGATCTCACATTCTGCTTCAGCCATTATGATTAATAAATACAACTGGATACCACAGTTTACCCTTCCTGCAGCAATATGTTATCATAATCAGCCTATTAGAATGATTTCTGAAGGATTGTGTAACACTGAAGACTGCGGTTATGCTGCTAAAAATGCAGCTTTGCCATCACAACACAAATAAATTACATTTTAAAATATATACAAAAATAAACAGTTCTTTTAAATTGCAATAATATTTCTGAATTGTGTGTATAACAGACTTGTGTATGGATTAACTGGTTCTCGCCATGAATATAGCCATAGATGCTGGAATGGCGTTAAGAAGAAAATAAACAAACATTGTATTTTTGATTAAATAAATGCAGCCTGGGTGAGCATAAGAGACTTAAAATTATTTTTAAAAAACTTTAATGCATCCAAACTTTTGACTGGTAGTGTCCAAGAATAATAGCTTTAGATTACTGCTTAAATGTGAGGTAGATATAACTAGGGTATTCTGTGTGGTTTTTTAGCGCATTCGTTTACTTGAACAGGTTTTGGTATCACCTGCGCAGCTGCGCCGGTCCGGGGTCAGCTCGTATCCAGGGTCGCAGCCGCAGTGGTAGCTGCCCAGGGTGTTGACACAGCGCTGCTCACAGTGACCGTTATCAGGTTTGGAGCATTCGTCAATCTCTGCATTACAAGCAAAACTCAAGATCAGAAGGTCACAAAGGAGGCAAAGCAGTCAATATATAATTCAGGAGTGTCACCTTTGAAGAAATTAGCTGCAAACCCAGCTTTGTTCACCGAACCGTCAGATACAAACTTCATCCACAGCTGGTTGGAGCTGCTCTTGATATCGTCTGGCTTTGCGTAGCCACAGAAGTGACCCAGTAGAGGGCTGTTCTCGGAATCGCCATCTCGCAGTTCCAGGTAGTCATACGCACAGTTGTCATGTTTCTCGATCTGAGTGTGAAAGCAGAGAAAAGGGTCATGATAGAAATGTTACTTGTGGCACCTCTCTGCCCGAAAATTCAATAAGAATGCTTCACTGTCAGTACTGCTAATCAGCACTTGTGATGCCATGACAAGAAGCTGAAGCCACAATAAATCACAGGCATTTCATCGATTTGTGTGTTCTGCTCTGCAATGACTAACATTTCATGACATTTCCGAATTCACTTCTCCCTTTCTCTTCCCATCATTAAATGCTCTCTCTACACATTCCTCTACAATAACACTTCATTCAATAACGCTCAAAAGTGTTTGCAGTGTGCTTTAAACCTTAAAAGTATATATTTTTTTAAATGTACTTGCAGATAATATTAATGAAATGAAAGTGTACTTAAAGGGAGTACACTTTGATTGCTGTATTTCATAACTCACATTTTTTGTGTACATTTTAAACCATTGTTTTCATAATCATTTAGCCATGCGTAAATAAAGCACACTTATTTTGACTAACATGCTAAAGTACATGTAAAGTACTTGATTATAAGTCTAACTACTGTGATATTTGATATTAAATTTAAAGTTAAAATATCATATACATTAAATTGCGACTTCGTTA